CATACCAATATGTGAGCCCTCTAGTGGCATTCCGAGTGCTGGAAGTGTGGCTGGCAGGGCACAGGATGCCCTCGGAGAGCTGGGCATCCACACAGGGCGGCTCATTCTTATCACAGTGATGGCTCTGGGAATAGATTTGGAGAACAAGGTGAGAAGAGTCTGTGTTTATCTACTTTGGGCCAAAGAAAGAAAAATATCCCCTTCGCAATTTAAATCTAAAATTCTGTAGCTTAATTAAGACATTTCATAAATTTCCTTCAGCAGTCTTTAGGAATACAACTCCTCATAAGAGCTCTTTCACCCCAGAAAAATATCTGTAGCTGTCTTCAAGTTGATAACAGATGAGTGAAGATAGGTAATAAATAATAGTATGGAAAGTCTTCTTGTTTGAACATGTTTTGCCAAAAGCACTGAATATGAAGTTGGGTGAGAGAAAGGAGAAACATTCTCTGACTATGACTGACATACTTTATGATGATTTAGTGGAACACCTTGCAGCCAACTGTCGCTTTTGTTCACAGGTGTTCTAAAGCTGTCACACCCCTGTTCCTCTCACACAACAAATTCACGATCTAATTCATTGTTAATTGTTGAATGCTCCTTTTTATGGTATCCAGAGATGCCCCAGGAGCCACGTGGCTTCCTTAGATTCTTATGTGTTAAAAAAATGGAGTCACAACCTTAATGTTTGGAGCAGTACAACTTGGGTTCATCTGTGGATCACTTGAACTTAGGAAGGCTTGGGGCTTTTTCCACTTAGGAAAAAAGTGTATTTTAGTTAAAACAAAAATGAAAATAAACATTTTCTCCAGAGCATCTGGTTCAGGTTTGTGTTAGACTTTGTCAGTGGGTGGTGTAGCAGGGTGTGATTTTCATACCTAATTGGATTAGTATAAGGCAGAACAACTGGTGCATCTCTGTGCATGTGCACAGGAAGGAGCAGGGATAGGCTGTTTCACCCAGGCAGTGTGCAGGCTGGGGCAGTGGAGACTGTTATCTTGTCTATAACCATTTTCCATATCCTGAAATCAAATTTGCAGAACAAACAGCAGTTGGGCTTGGCTTCATATTTCATTAGATAGGCGCATCCTCACAAAATTATTTTCATTAGACCATGCAGACATCTTTCTGACATTTACTTTTGTGTGCTTTTAGAGTAATCAAAAATGCTAGTAATGTCCAGATATGGGTCTGTTTCACATACAGGAATATATTTTTGAAGTATGCTTTTCAGACTTAAATGCACTTTTGTTAAACATCACAGGAAGGCAAACGGTTTTCTTTCTTCTACTTGCCCTTCTTCTGAAGCAAGGAGGGGAATAATACTCCAAGTGTTTCAGTGTTGTGTTTCACACAGGCTTCATCTGTATCATCTTTGTTGGAAGAGTTGGTAGTTGGCATCAATTTGGATCAAAAGAACTGCAGTTAGGAAGGCCATGAGGAAGGTTCCATATTATTTCTCCAGAGCATTCTCACTACTGACGAGTTGTTTCTTGAGGCATGTAGCTCTATTGAGAAAGATGTCTTCTGGGAATAAAAGTTTTATTTCTGAAGCAGGGGTTTATATCAATTTAAGTATTAAATTATTTGTATAGATATCATCTACACAATAAAGTGGCTGATCACAAGATACGTAAAAACTTTAGTATGTAAGTCAATATAAAATCATATTATTTTAGATTTTATAAGAATGTGCACAGAATCTGATTATTTAAGTAACATTAATAGAATAGGCTATCTTTGAATGAGCTCTGAACAGCACAAGTACATTCTAGTTTATGCATTTTAAGACTGTTGCTGTCAGTCAGACTGAAAAGAGGCAGTACAGGAGGCCTGGGTGCCCCTGCAGAGGCTGTGGCCTCGCTGCCACGTGGGTCCTGCGGGAGCCCAGGGTGTGGAGGGCACTGGGCTGCCGTGGGTGCCGCTGGCTGGGTACCTGCAGCTCCTGTTTGGCTGCTCAGCATCAGCCACCCCATCCTTCAGGGTGTTCACTGCCGTGTGCCTCATTCAGCTGTGGAGCGAGAGGGCCTTTATTTACTCTGCCCTGCATTTTTCTCCCTTAGCCTGGTGACAGTCTTTCTCCGGCCAGAGCCAAGGCAGGCTGTGTTTTTCTGTGCACAACTTCAGGGAGTCACCCCTTTGTTTCAACTTCAAAGGCTGCAGTCCGAAGCTCACCACGTTTTACTGAGAATAATCACTGATCAAGGTTCTTGACCAATTTTGATTGATTGGTTTCATTAGTTTTTATTACTTTTATAAGCTTTTCGATAAATACTCATGTAACTGTAATTCTGCTCCCTGCTGGTGATCCAGAGTTGGATCTATTGCTGTGTTATCTCTACAGCATATTTGTGTTTGGAATTTCTTGACTAATACTATGCTCTCTCAAATTTTAGCTATATTATTTAGTTGCCTAATTTCAGCAAAAGTTAAAGATTTGCAACTTCTCTTTAAATTATGCCTCTCAAATACTTTGTGTGCTCATAGGTCAGACCAGCTCATTCCTTTTTCCTGAGCTCTTCTTGATTTCAGTGTCCTGTGTTTTAGCTTGAACTCTTGGGTGAAATTCAGAGTTGATGAATTTTTGGTATTTGAGTATCACTGTGTTTTTATATTTAAAAACATCTGTAACTCCTCTTGAACCAAACTGTAGTTTTTAAAGGTCTGTCCTATTAAATTCTCTTTCCACTCTGCAGCACTTTGAGGACTTCTATTCCTCAAAGGACCCTCCTGATACAGACACACCAGGCTTCATTCACTTGTTATTCTTTACCATCTTAGAATTGCACCAATATTTCATCTCCACAAGTAGACAAACTAACCTGAATTAGGAAACCACAGGCTCTGCTTTGTTTGTTGCCCTGGCCACATGGTTTATTAAACCTTGTTTTTGTCTGCTTTGGATAAGGAATGTCTTTGTCTTGCTGTTTTACCACTGATGCAAAATACAAGAAAACAAACTATCAAGGTAAACCTAGGATTAAAGGAGTGGAAAAGTGTCCCAAAACTATTTCCCATCTCATTTTGATTCCCATCTCATCAAGCAGTGCTTGTCCAGAGTGAGAGATGTGCCCCACAGCATCTCAGTTCAGAGTGATGGATGGCTGTGGGAGGAATTCCTGGTCCTGCTGACATGTCAGGGGTGTTACCTTAACATGCAACAGCAATGTCTTTAAATGGTTTTACGAGTAGGGAGGTAAGATCTGCTTCCATGCTCAATTGAAGAACTGCCATTTTGGAACTACAGAGGGAAAGTTGTATGATCAAAGCAAAACCAAAGCTTCGGGAACTGTAAAAACCATTGTGAGTGGAGGAAATAATATTTCAACCACACAGCTGAATTTTAGCTGCATGATGATATAGAGACAATGAAAAGGAATGTAATGTTTAGGATAATGATTTATGAAACAATCAAACTGTAAGGAAGAAATCTATGGAAATAGTTGAGCACATCAGCCTAAAAATAATGCAGATGGAAAGGCAAAGACAGTGCACTTCAGTGCTCTGTGCTGTCAGCAGTGAGGGCTGGACTGGCCATGGAGCAAAACTATTAAAGAGCAGTTCAACAAGCTTAACAGATATGTCTAATTTAAAGCATTTCTTGGAGAGATGCATGATGAAATAAAACTGCGGGGGTTTTTTTGTTAAAATCTACTTTAACAAAGAAATGCTTTCCCAAAGCTCTGATACTTTTTTAAATTAAAAATACAAATCGTGGTTTGCATAATATGTGCTGGAGAATTACTGTTTTATGTTACAGTAATATGTTGCAATTATTATTTAAAACCTTATTTAATTTTTAGATTCAGGTGTAAATCAGTGTTATCATGCTGTAATTGAAAAATTGTGCTCACCTTTTTTTCCTGAAGGTATCTTGAAGGGCATCAATTAAAAAGGCAATTTATTTTAAAAATACTTTCACATGAACTACTGATGCAAATTTTATGTTTAGTTATGTAAATCCATAGGAAAGCCTTAAAAAGTTACCTTTTGTTTAATCTTATGTGGAGCCCCTGGTTCATGCTTGTCTGTTTAATAAAGGGTCAGATTTTATTTATGTGGTTAAGTAGAACATAAATGTAGACACTTCACACGATGTACCATGTAAATGTAAGCCTTTGTAGTTACAAGTTTTTTTGTAGCTGGAGAATTGTTTTAAAAGGCATGTAATTTATTAGCTATCAGTAGCTGCTTTATTGCCTTGCCGCGCTGCAGTAATAAATAAAAGAAAGTGAGCTGATTTTACAAATGGCACACAAGGTGCACATTTTGTGAAAAAAGTCTTTTTTTAAAGAATTGGCATTAAATCCTTTTTTGTGATGACAAAGAGGCTAAGAGTGCAAACTGTATTTTCTGTTTATCGAAAACAGAGTCTCTTTTTCTCGAGGGCATTTTTTCCTATGATCATCAAGGGATTTCAAAAGCAATAAAGTGTGGAATCATTGTTCGACTTGAACAGTATTAAAACTTAGGTTTTAATTTCAGTGAAGTAATAAGATTTGAACCTGTCTCACATTACAGCACTGTAAGGCATTTAGCAATTGTATTTTAAAGGAGGTTTTTAAAATGCAGCTCACTTGAAAGCTAACTGTCTATCGAGTAATTAATAGTTTCTTTTCAGCACAGGCTGTTGTGAATCATACTAAGAAATCTTGGTTTTGTTAATAACAAATTAAGATAATTGTAAGGAAGTTATTTCCTAATTAGTTTAAACTTAAAATCTTTTTTGCCCCTTTCTGAGATGGATTTTCAAATGAAGACAAAAAAAAAAAAGAAAGAAAATATTGAGGTTTTCAGCATGATTTTCACCCTAGCATTAAAAAAAAAAATCTCTATGTTTACCTGTACATTTCAAGAAACTGTATTTCTTGGTTAGCAGCACGTCTGCTTGCCTTTAAGTATTTAATCAGTAAACATACTTTATTGCATTAATGCAATTTCTGTTTCAAAATTGCACGTTGCAGTTGCAGATAATTCTGCAGAGCTTCTCTCTTCTGTAGGGACACGGGGAACTCTGGGATACTGGAACTCCCTGTGCTCGCTTTGGCACGGATATTCTCCGGGTTCAGACTGAAAATACTCCTTCAGGTTGGTAAGTAAAATGTGGGCTGATGAGGGCATAGCCATACCCATGCCCTGCAGCTGGAAATGCACAGGTGTGATTTTGGGGAGGGGAGTTTGGGCACAGGTGCCTGTTCCAGCTGCCCTGGTGTTGGTGCGGGTGCTGAGAACTATGGCCTTCCGTGGTGGTTCTGAGCAGCAACTGCCTCCATCAGCCATCAGGTTTGTTCCTGTATTTTAGTAGATGGCCTAGACTGTAAATATTAGAGGATCTAAAATAAATCAACATATTATCCTAAGGATACAAAACGTAAGAGCTATTTGTGGCTAGGAGCCCTTGACAGATAGTTTGGCTGAGGCAGATGATTGCCCGCCTCTTGGATCTGGCTCCCATTGCTGTGCCTGCAGGCAGTGTGGTGTTATAGTTGTATATTGATGTTAGGGTTACTACTGAGTGGCTAGCAATGACAGATGTCTATAATTAGAGGCAATGCTGCCAGTATTTCAGAGGAGCCGGCCTATGTTGAACCATTATCTTATTTCTGGCTTGCCAAAGAGGGTTGTTCAAATTGCTGGTATTAGCTGTGGTGGCTGTAACACCTCTCCTTATGCCCTGGGATAAATGTGCAAAAGCACTGTCATGTACAACCCTGGTGCAAAACCTCTTCAGAAGAAGTGATCCTGCTAAATTTCATGTGCTTAAGGCTTGATTTGGAGATGCAGAACACCTGCAGTGCTGTTATTCAGTACAATGCAATAGGTTTGGATATAGGGATTTTAGAGCTATAGTAAGTAGCTCTGATTTTTATTCCGTACTTTTAAGTGCCAGAGTGATGTAGATTTTTGAGTGTTGGTGTTTATTGCACATAAGTGTGCTGAGTGGGCCACTCATTTAGATACAATTCAGCATCTGAATAAAATTTAGCTGCACACTTGTAATAGTTATGTAGGGACAAGTCAGAGTGTGGATTACTGCTATTTGATTACCTGTATTTCTGGATCTTTTGGAGTGTTCTGACTGACACAAATATAATCTTGTAACTGCACAGTAGTGCTTCATTTCAATCACGAAGGATTCTAAAACAGCATTTTGGCTTATTGTTAAGCAAATCCTTGACTGCATACATGGCTTGAATTTCTGCAGTTCACTGTATAGCTCTGATGGAAAGTGCAGCCCAACACTGTGCTTCAAAAGCTAAAAATCTTCTGGAAGGTGTTCAAAAAGTAACAGCTGTTAATAGTATTTCCGTTTTCACTATAATATCTGTTCTTTAAGCCCTGAAGGGGAACACAAGAGACAGTGGAATTAAAACTCTCTAACAGTGCTTAACAAAAATGAAAGTCTAAACAAGACTATTTAAGCTAAGCATCCTTTTAACTAATGGCTAACTGAAAACCTAGCAGATAAACCCATTTCTTTTTTCTTCTTCTTTGTTTTTTATGGAGAATGCTTCTCAGGCTGCATCAGTAATAAGAGCAGTCCATTCATGGTAGGTCTCCTGTATAAGTTCAGCAGAATTGTACCTCTTTCAAGATTTTCAGAAAACATGGATTAAGAAAAGGAGAAATAAATAAATAAGTAAATAAACACTGAGAGATAGTAATTGAAATAGAGATCAATTTCCATGTAAGAGAGAGTTTATTGCTGGCACCGTATAGGCATTTTATAGATCAGGAAACAGGGAGTTAATCACTCTGGCACCCTAGACTCCTCTGAATCCTCCAACTTATGGGGAAGAACTGGGGAACAGGGCCTGGAAAACAGCCTTTGTGGGAAATGTTAATACCTCTTGCTGTCAGAGCTTGTGGTGGCAGAGTATTTCAACAGACTAGGAGGGAAATAACATCCATAGCAATGAGCCACACAGTGTGTTTACCCTTTCACCTAAAACAGAACACTTGGTTATAATAACAATCTCCTCGTTTTTAAATGTTAGGTTGTAGTAGGTCTCTTTCAGTTGAGGATAACTTAATGCAGTATTTTAGGCTAGGTTTGGAGGTAAGACAGTAAATCATCTATATCATTTATGTCATTGGTGTGGGTGCTCTGGTTATTACGAACACAGGCAGCAGTGGGTGGGAGAGAAGCCTACATAGAAAGCAGCTGAAAGTCTACTTGAGTCTTCAGAGATCCTGTCTGAATTAACTGAGGCATTTCCTTATGGCCTGTTTGGAGAGTTTCTTCATTTAGAGAGTTTACTCTAATCCAGTAAAAACTCATTCTCTTGTTTAGGCTCTGAGCTAAGAGTATTTTGAGATGTTAGCTTTTTAAGACAGCTGGTCAGGAGTGGAAGTGACCAAGGTTTTCCTCTGCTAAGAAGAGGAGATAAAAGCCAGGGCTTTTGAAGCCCTCAGTTTGATCAGGAGATAAAGATGAATGATCTGGCACCCTGATAGTCCAATTAGGGGATTCAGTTCCCATTTCCTGAAGCTGGTTGCAGAATGTAGAGCTGGATTTCTGCTGTGTTATACTGGAGATTTTAAGTGCTGCAAATTCAAATACCTGAGTGTGATTTTAAAAATAGGGGAAATTACAAAGTGTGTTTTGGCACTCAATACCAAGAATGCCACTTGCAGTTAGTGTGGAGGTTTGGTGGGTGCTGGAGGCATGTTGGTCAGGGAGGTGGGGGGTAGAACCCCATAGTAGTTGCCCCTGCTTTGTTTGTATTCCCAAAAACACCACGGGGACAGACAGGCTCCCCTCCATGTGCCCCATGTGCTTCAGCTCTGCCAGGCTGGGGTAAACGTGGTGCAGGTCTGCTTCTGCCCTCACTGCTCATGACAAAATGCTTTAATGTTGCTGTGATAGTTCTCTGCAGCAAGGCCTGGAGGGCATCAAGGAAGTGATAATATCTGCAGCATTTACGCTGTGCCTACGGGTAATAACTTTACTGTAATTTTCTGAAGATTCATTATCCAAAATCTTAATTCATTATAATAGCCCTTATGAAAACTGTAGAAACTAACATTTTCTTGTGCTTTCTTATTTGCACAGTGTGAGAGATTCATTGCTCTGTTTTAATTTGTTTCATGGGGTGTGTTTGAGTACATTCCATACAGTGCTTTTATTGAATTTCTGTGACTGTCATTACTGAGCCATACAACCTTTAGGAACTCATATTCTGAGCTTCCCAGTTCTGTAATCTGCTTCACATTTAAGAATTGATATAATTAGCTTCTTCAGAGTTATAATGTTAGAGCCAAAAAGAGAAGACTTCCAAAGGCAAAGCAAAGTTAAACATATCCAAGGCCAAAGAGTAGGGAAGAGAAGGAAATAAAATTTTGGTGTCATTACTGAATTATTTCTGTTTTCTTGGTCTGTATTTACATGCAAGTATTTTGCTTTATAAAACATTGCTTCCACAGTTTTATTTCTTGTCCTTTTGGGACAGTTCAAGGACCTGGGAAGTGTATGTTTATGTAACTTGGAAAACTGATAGCCCAGAGAAGCTGCGTCTGCCCCTGGATGCCTGGAAGTGTCCCAGGCCAGGTTGGATAGGGCGTGGAGCAGCCTGGCAATGTGTCCCTGCCCATGGCATGTGTAGGACTGGATGGGCTTTAAAGTCCCTTCCAAACCTAATCTTTCTGTGATTCTATAAAATTTCCTGGATCATTAAAAAATTCCCTGGCACCAGAACTTGTGAATCTTCTGTCTTCCTTTAGGGTCCTGATGCCACCAAGGTGGTTATAAGGGTACAAACAGAAAAAAGAAGGATCCCTTGATCCTTTGCTTTCACACTTGGTTCAGTATGTTTGAAATTGTGGCTGATCAGTATTGAAGGTGTTTCACTGGTCTGTTCTTTCTCTTGGCTGCCATGGCCAGTGCTGTCACCTCTGAGCACAGCAGTGCCACTGGGGGTTGAGGGCAGTGGTGCCACCAGCTCCAGCTTGAATCAAAGGCCCTGGCTGGGTTCCTGGACCTGTGGAGCCCCTGAAACATCGCAGCCTAACACTGCCACTTGTGAGGATGTTTCCCTCACGGTCACAGGTGTGTAAGGTGAGCTGGGGATGGTATTCTCCTGTCAGCTGACGTTGTTGGCCATACATGTTTTAGTCACACAGCTTTGGACTGACATGGAATTCTCTTCTGGAGTTGTAAATCTTGCAGTTATAAGGATCTGGGACTCATTGTGTCACTGTTTTCCAGGAGTCTAGAACCAAGGTTTTCCTACTGGAACTTGATTGCCTGCTCCTTGCTGGCAGCACCTGAGGGCAGTAGGAGCGTCAGCCTTGGGCTCCTTGCTGAAGCAGGGCAGGGAGGGGTGAAGGGAGGAGCCCCGGGGAGTGTGGCTCTGCTGCCCTTACCCCCGGGGTGCCCTGTAGGACCTAAGCAGAAGATGAGATCACCTCCACAGCTTTTTACGACCCTTTTCAGCAGGATTTCTCTCCACCTTTTGAATATGTAGCACAGCCTTTGTTGTTGAAGTGTGTTTTATTATTGTACGACCAAAATGCTTTATCATTAATTTTTCATAGTGTTTAGAAGTCCAGGGGCATTGCATTGCTGTGGTGAGAGGCGATTACTTTTCTATTTTTGTATGCTAATAGCATGTGCGGGTTTTGAAAATTATTATGAAGAATGTTTTTTAAATATCATATTTATTTTAGCTTACAATTTGCTATAGATTGGGTAGTTTTTATTGTGAGGGCTATATTCATGCTGACTTGGAATGACCCTGTCACACGTGAAAACAAATCAGATTGTTGCTGTTAATGAGCTTTTCAATTTACTATTCAGTGGATCAGATAAGTGGATTTAAGAGGTAATGATCCTGCTTAGTACTCAGGCTTGTCTGTCAGATCCTAGTAGTGTGGGAAATCCCCAGGGACAAAAGCGTTGACACAGTTCTTGATGGGATAATGGGAATCAAAGCTAATGGATGATAAAAGGAGTAGTAAGAGTTACAAGGATAATTGTGGATTAAAGCACTGCTCTTTGTCAACACTGACTGCTGGTTTAGTATTTTATTTGTTAAACTCTGATGTGGGGAGAGCCTAGTTTGACAGCGGAGCACAATGAGCTGGGCTGGCTCCCGGAGCACGAAGAAAGGCTCGGAACACACAGGGGTAGCTGCTGATGCCTCTGCATTCCTTGCTACTGTTTTTTTTCTTGTCATGACACCAAACGCAATAATTCTGAAACACTGCAAAAATTGCAGCTGTTGTAGCATTTCAGCAGTGCGTTGTTTAGGGAGTGGATTTTTTTTTTACTTGGAAGATATTATTTTTATATTTCAATATATTATTTTTGCTATGCCTAATTACTGTAAGCAGTAACTTTACACTTACAGTGTGAACATAGTATTTTGCAACATTTAAAGATTGTATTATATAGTATTATTTTTTTCATCTTTTTGATTGTCCTTTGGTTTTGCCACCAAAAACTACATTCATACAATTATAAAAGGATAAATTGGCTTACAAGTTAAGTTACCCTTGATTTTGGTGCGATTACTGGTTAGAGCTGCAAGTTTACATACTCCTGACTTTAGTAAGCTGGAATTTAAAGTCTTTGGGATGTGAAAATCCAATTGTTGATATTATTGTTTTCATTGTTCTTATTAACTGTGTCAGAGGTGGAGCATTGGTAATTTGGTTTTTAAAGCAAGTCCCAGGATTCCATCAGGGCAAAGGGAGGCTGGTGTGGGTGCGGTGGCACAGGTGCCGAGGCTGGGATGGGCTGTGCTGTGGGAAGGGAGCCGGCGGCAGTAGGTGGGGAAGGGAGCGGGCAGTAGATGGGGAAGGGAGCGGGCAGTAGACGGGGAAGGGAAGGGAGCGGGCGGCAGTAGACGGGGAAGGGAGCGGGCAGCAGTAGGTGGGGAAGGGAGCGGGCAGTAGACGGGGAAGGGAAGGGAGCGGGCAGTAGACGGGGAAGGGAAGGGAGCGGGCAGTAGACGGGGAAGGGAGCGGGCAGTAGACGGGGAAGGGAGCCGGCAGTAGATGGGGAAGGGAAGGGAGCGGGCAGTAGACGGGGAAGGGAAGGGAGCGGGCAGTAGATGGGGGAAGGGAAGGGAGCGGGCGGCAGTAGACGGGGAAGGGAGCGGGCAGTAGGTGGGGAAGGGAGCGGGCAGTAGGTGGGGAAGGTAGCCGGCAGTAGATGGGGAAGGGAGCCGGCAGTAGATGGGGAAGGGAGCGGGCAGTAGGTGGGGAAGGGAGCCGGCAGTAGGTGGGGAAGGGAGCCGGCAGTAGATGGGGAAGGGAGCGGGCAGTAGGTGGGGAAGGGAGCCGGCAGTAGATGGGGAAGGGAGCGGGCAGTAGGTGGGGAAGGGAGCCGGCAGTAGGTGGGGAAGGGAGCCGGCAGTAGATGGGGAAGGGAGCCGGCAGTAGATGGGGAAGGGAGCGGGCAGTAGGTGGGGAAGGGAGCCGGCAGTAGATGGGGAAGGGAGCGGGCAGTAGATGGGGAAGGGAGCCGGCAGTAGGTGGGGAAGGGAGCCGGCAGTAGATGGGGAAGGGAGCCGGCAGTAGATGGGGAAGGGAGCGGGCAGTAGATGGGGAAGGGAGCGGGCAGTAGGTGGGGAAGGGAGCGGGCAGTAGGTGGGGAAGGGAGCCGGCAGTAGGTGGGGAAGGGAGCCGGCAGTAGATGGGGAAGGGAGCCGGCAGTAGATGGCACCAGGCGCTCACCGCTGGGAGCTGCGCTGGGGCTCTCCCCGCACCTCTGCTGCATTCCGGGATCCATCAGCAGGCAGATGCCAGGCAGCCCGGAGTGTCCCCAAGGGGACAGTGTCCCCAAGGGCTTGAGTGGCTGCAGTGACACCCCTGAGTGCTGGCCCTGCGTTCTACCCACGAAGCGCAGCTGGCGAGTGTGGGGAAGGGCTGGCACAGGCTTGGGCAGCAGCTTTGCACTATCGTCACCTTTCTGTCTCTGAAGTTGATTTAATCCTACAAAATGTTTTTATCTGAACTAAATGTTAGGATACTAAAACCCCCGGAGAACTTCATGAAGATTACACAGTAAGGCAGAAATAGAATTGCTGTGTCCTGTGCATTTGCAGCTGCATGTTACCCACAGCTGGGTCTGGCAGGCAGGGTGCTGGGACACCGACCCTGAAATGGGTGTCCCGGACTGCAAATAAAGGGACACATACACTGCTGCAAGCTATTGGGCTGCCTAAGCCTTTGTTCTCCTTTCAAGGACACAAAACAATGTCTGAAGAGTACCAGATTTACCAGATATTATCACCAGCAGTGCAAGAATTTGTAAGCTTAAAGACCGCATTGAATGACATCCCACTGAGGACAGATTGACAAAAAATGTTTTCTCCACCCCTTTCTAATTTTCTGTAATAAACCAGGGTTTTGAATGGAGACTATATTGTTCTAAGAACAACAAAGTGAGGTTAATGTGAAAATTTGCACTCCTTTGTGGGAAGAAATGTTCGTAAGAGCAAGTAAAAGCCTCAGTCCCCACATCACAGGACAACATAAGAGAGTAGATAAGCCATCTCCTACGAGTGCTGCAGCCTGCAAGGTCGTAGGTTGGATGTATAGGCACTTATGCCTGTGCTTTCCTCCTGCAGAGTCAAATTGGGGAAGGTTTTAGAGTAACTGAAAATGTTGAAGGTAGTTAGTATCTATAGTATGTTACTGTTGAAATGTTAATTTCCAGGTGTATGCCAGGATGTCTGAAGTCTTGGGAATAAAAGGTGACAACCATGTTCTGGAAGCATTTATGACCAAAAATGTAAGTTTGTGCTTGGGTTCTATTGTGTATGTTGTTTGTTTTGTCTTTAACATGCTGTCAAGTTTGCTCTTTGCTAGAAAAATGTTTTCTGTGAATTTGAACTATTTGAAATAAGGGACAACCATTTTTTGAAAGACCCATATCTTATTTTCTGAAGGTACTGCAAGCCTCTAAGTGAACAGTTGCAGCTCAGTATTTCCACCATAGTGCCTGTGTCCCCTCTCAAAATGGCTTATGTGGGGTAGAGCTGAGATGTCCCAGCCTCTTGTTCAATGACAAACTGGCACAAACAGCCCCCATCCCTCCCTTCTCTTTCCTGCACCCTGTGTGGAATTGCCTGTAAAGTTTTGTGGCATTTCAAAGTGGGGAACTGACCGAAGCAAACTAATCTTCTGTTGTTTGGGAAAGTTTTCTTGGATTGATTTTTGTTCAAGATCTGGCAAATTTTGCTATCTTAAAAATGCAGGTTCACAGAGGAGGATCCTCAGGCCTCACACTGAAGGAGACAAGAGGCATTATCATCACCTGTCTTCACATCTCTGGCATTTGCAGAATAACATAGTGTGTTATTTTGGCAGAGAAGTGCTGCAGTACTCTCTCTTAAGAATATTCCTGGACAATTACTCTGGAGAACATACTATTTCTCATGCCTCTGCTACAGCAGCTTTCCTTGGCTGCCAGCAAAATTACCAGGATTTTGGTTTTTATTACGTATGGCCTTCATGATATTTACTAGTTTCTCCTGACACAAAAAGAGTTTCATCTAAAATAATTTTTTCTCTTGAAGCGAAACAAAATGATCCCTCTGAAAAACTGTGAATATACACAAAAAAATCTGGGAGTCCCCCAGGAGACAACGTGGCCCATGTGTGCCTGGAGAAAGAGAAACAAGTGTCTGACCTCTTCATTTTGCAGTGAGGGAGATGCTGCATCTGGTCATTTGCTTCCTGTCCTCTCAATCTGACTTACAGGACCTTTGAACACTCCCAGGAAACCTTGGCCTGCTGGACACAGCTCTCTGCTGGTCACCAGGCTGGCTGTGACCTGCTGGGACAGTACTGATCAGGACTTGTAGTAATTAAAACAAGGTCATTTTCTGATACAACTTAAATATCTGTGGAACACAAGGCATAAACACTTCCTCAAACCGGAAGCCGAGTGTTGTGTCTTGCCTTAGGATAACAACAGTACCCATCCAGCCCTGATATTTATCTGGAGCAGTCTTTGAAGACAGGTCAGTGGAGGGTGATGGATAGAAAATGGCTGATGATGTTACTGTGGAGTTTTGGGAGGCAGCCCATGCCATGGAGCCTGATGGCTGGGCTGTGTTTAGTTGTTTCAAACTGCAGTGAACCTTGAACAGCTGAGGAAAAAGGAGGCAGAGGGCTCTTTTCTGGATACCATCAGTTTGCCTCTCTTGCTACTCATTGCTACCATTGAGGGGAATTCTCTGTTATGTTTGCCACTTGAAGGAATGGCATCCTTTTACAAGTTGTATGAGCAGCCCTACATGTGTTTTGATAGGATAGGGTTGTGTTTGCACAATTACTGTAAATTAAGTTTTAAAAATTTAGTTTCTTCATGTTGAATAGTTTAGTGTTAATGGGTTTTAGTGTTACATGGAAGATTTTAAAAGAAAACAAGGTACATAAAAAGCAAAAATCAGCGGTGCTTTTTAGATTACACATTGTAGTTTTATTTCTCTTTCCTTGTGGCCTACTGTGTTTTCATAAAGCTCTGAGTTGTTAATTGATTAGATTGAAGATCGTATTTAACAGAATAGATGCTACCACCTGACATGGACACTTCACTGAGTGGCTGTAAGAAGCAGCTGTGAATCCTAGATAAACATTGCTGTGTTTGTGGCAATGAGGGTCTTCTTCCCAGTGGTAGCGTGCCAGGTGAAAATTCTGGGTGTGAAATCAGCATATTGATCTATATAATCCAAACCCAACGGTCTGATGGGGCAATCCAGTCTGGCAGCATTCCTGGTGCTCTGTTACTGGGAATATTCTTAGCACATTTGTAGCAGCAGCAGGCAGAATCCCTGACTGGGAGCCCATTCACCTGTTCCTCCAGTGGATGGAGTGAGTGTTTTAACCACAGGTATTTTAGAAAGCCACTCGTCTACTCTTCTGTCTTACCCCACAGATCCAGTTTTTCTTTCAGTAGGTGCCCACCTGCCTTGGTTCTTCCCTGCAGAGGTAAGAAAATGCTGGGACTGGAGGAGTTTTAGTTCCACCTGCTGCTTGAGCCTGGGCTGGAAGTGTCTTGTCATTATTTTGGCTGCAATCACCTTTCCTTTTCTTCCCTTACCCTTTGTGAACCTCTTCTGGGGTTTTTTTGGTTATTATCAAAATCACATGGAAATGATTTTTCATTAGGTGGATTTACAAAATGTTTTCCCAAGTATTTCGTATTTCTGGTCATGATAAAATAAGTGAAACATGAATAAGAGGTGCATGTCCAAATATTGATGTGGGATGTCACTGTGGTGAATGCAAATATGTGTCAATAGAGGGATTTTCCATGTTACAACTTTTCAGTGTGGATCTCTGAGTATTTTTTGGAACACTTACCCTGAAATGGCTCCTTGAATCACAGCAAACAAAAATTCAGTACTTTTACTCATGATAGAACGTGCAGTTTTTAACTATTCACCTTTGTCCAGCTCTAATGAAAAGTATATATCCCATTGCTGTCTGAGCCACCGAGAGCTTTCAGGGTAAGTGATGATAATCTGTCAGAAATAATTAAAACCTGACTGTACAGAGCTTTCTTGCCTCTGTGTTTTTACTGAAATTTCAGCACCACATAAAGAACAGATTTTCAGTGTCTTTTCAAGGGTTTTGGAAGCCCGTTTTTCTTTGCTCTGTAATGGGAATTGGATAGCACATCCTTAAGCAAAAAAACTTTGAAAGTTTTTGTCTAAAATGTAGGTTTTTTCCATCTTTTCTGTAATGCATTACATTTCTGTAATACAACTACAGTTAAGGGTATTACAACTTGTAATATCCTTAACTTGTGACCAAGACTGTTCATGAATTTACATTCCCAATTCATGTAATTCTTAGATAAGCTTAAAAGGTTTTCACTCTTTCCTTTAATTATTTAACAGGCAAACAAAACCCCAAAACAGCCACCTCAGCCAAATTTGGTGCTTTACGGCAGTCATCACCTCTTCTGGCTGGTAGCAGCTTAACTCTTGCAACTGCTTGTTTGGCATATTCCCAGCTCCCCTGTGCATGCGAGGTTAGGCAACCCATGTGTGAGCAGAAATTCTTGTTTTCCTGGAATTCCTCTGCACTGTGATGGTGAACCTGCCATTACCTTTCAGAAAAGAGGTTCAGGGCCTCCTGGAAAAAGGATGGTTCATCTGAAACTTCATGGTTATCTCCTTTGACTCTGTAACTTTTAGTTCATCTTTTAAATCACTAAATCACTTGAGTTACAAAGATAGAGGGACCGTGGCCCCTGGATTTAAGAGCTATCTTGCCATGATTTCTCTGAGATCTGTAAATTTTTCTGCTCTTTTATTCCTTGTTTCTCTTCCTTGCATACTGGAAACTGCTTTTTGTATTATGAGATTGAGCTCTAGATCTTTAGAAGTTTTCTCAGATACTTATATAAAGTTTTGCGAATGTTTCTTAAAAAACTATATTTTATGTGTGTTTCACCTTACCTGATACTGGCAAGGCCAAAACAGAAATGGGAATTTCTATGATTGCCTCTGTTCACTCAAGAGTACTCTCCAGCTTTTATAGTATTGCTCCATCTTTCAGCATCCAAATACAACCCTGAACCAAAAGAACAGATGCAGACAAAAGTACTCTGAATGTTGGATGAAGAGACTTCCTTCCTTTAATTTTCTCTTCAAGCTGTCACCATGGCTTCTTGTTTTCCTTTAAATGTCTTGTAACTGAAGGATAAAGACTCTGCTCTTTTGCAAAATAGCCTTTTTATGGTTTTGATATTGGTGTCAAATCTGGGTAGTTCAAAATCCTTTCTATTGCTTTGTATGGTATATACTTGTTAAGGATTTAGTGCAACTATAAACATCTCCAGAACTCTCCATAGTAGGGATAAACTGTGAATTATGGACTTGTTTGAAGGGGCTATTTCTTTAAGGCAATCTGAACCCATATAGCTCTTCATAGAGATTTTATAAAGTAAATCAATGTCTGTCTGTAAATTTAAATTGAGGAATTGCTTTGGTAATTGCATTGTTATGTGTCTTTTCCTGAGCAAATAATACTAAACATTTAGATGCTTTAAACTCTGTTGAGCGTAAAACTTCCTGAAAAAAATAGTTTATGTGTTGTATACATTCCCTAGCCTGTGACTATGTAAAATCAATAATCAGTGCTGATTTTAAGGCATTTTCCATCTCTTCTACAGGTTCTCTTCTCTCAAAACTGAAATCCTACTGCATCACAGTACAAATAGCTGGTGCTGATGATATCTCTTACTTCACAGTCTGTCATCAATGGATGTCACAGCTGAAAGTAAAAATCATTGTGCACATTCCACAGCCATGGAAACTGAGCAGACAAACCTGGGCTGACTCATTTCCCTGACACCTTGGGGCACACCTGGCTCCTGGGGCAGCGGGCGCAGCACCACCCTGGCAGAGTCAAGGGGTGTTTGGACAATGCTCTCAGTCACGTCATGTGACTTTTGGGGCTGTTCTGTCCAGGGCTGGGAGTTGGACTCAGTGATCCCCGTGGTCCCTTCCAACTCAGCTGATTCTGTGATTCTGTGGGTTTGATGTCATGGTCAGGAATAGGTGCTAGGGCTCCCAAGCCAGGCAATCATGGGGCCCTTTTGTTTGAGCAGGCTGGTATCCAAATGCAGGGTGTTAGAGAATGGACCAAGCTCTGCTCACTGGTGCCAAAAACAGGACAAGAGGCAATAGGCACAAACGGATTCCCAGAAGTTCCACCTGCCCAGGAGGCGGAATTTTGAT